CATCCCACGCCTGGAACTCTTATCCTACGCCTGGCACCAGCTTCTCACGTACAATTGGCACCAGCTTCTCACGTACAATTGGCACCAGCTTCTCACGTACAATAAGCATCAACTACAAACTAAACACACAATATACATGTGGTGTATACATACATCTAGCGTATATATATATACATTTAGTGAGTATACAGGGCGTGAGACTGTATTCTCAGTGCTTAAGTCGCTAAGAACATTCAATTACTGCAGGATCCAGGGAGGGAGAATTATCTCTGGACACTGTTGTATTGGCACTGAAGCCGGCTTAATTTGCAGTGTAATACTGACACTAAGAGTGAGTTTACTCAGCAGTGTTACTCAGTGGTCCACAGTGTTTTTTGCTTGTACTGTATGACCCCGACGGGTTTAGCGCTTCGCCATGATGTTAGTATTGCTACTACTACTACGGCTTATACTACCACTACTACTACTACTACCACTACTACTGCTACTACTACTACTACTACTAATAATAATAATAATAATAAGAATGATTATTATTTTTTGCCCCCTGTTTGTTTACTATATAGTGTATTATAATACTAGTAATGATGATGATGATAATACTAAAAATAACAGCAATAATAATAATAATAATAATAATAATAATAATAATAATAATAATAATAATAATAATACTGGTGGTGTACATGTGACGTAGAGTCTTAATGACCCTCGTGTAGAGTCTTAATGATCCTCGTGTAGAGTCTTAATGACCCTCGTGTAGAGTCTTAATGACCCTCGTGTAGTCTTAATGATCCTTCGTGTAGAGTCTTAATGATCCTCGTGTAGAGTCTTAATGACCCTCGTGTAGTCTTAATGATCCTCGTGTAGAGTCTTAATGACCCTCGTGTAGAGTCTTAATGACCCTCGTGTAGAGTCTTAATGATCCTCGTGTAGAGTCTTAATGATCCTCGTGTAGAGTCTTAATGACCCTCGTGTAGTCTTAATGATCCTCGTGTAGAGTCTTAATGATCCTCGTGTAGAGTCTTAATGACCCTCGTGTAGTCTTAATGATCCTCGTGTAGAGTCTTAATGACCCTCGTGTAGAGTCTTAATGACCCTCGTGTAGAGTCTTAATGATCCTCGTGTAGAGTCTTAATGATCCTCGTGTAGAGTCTTAATGACCCTCGTGTAGAGTCTTAATGATCCTCGTGTAGAGTCTTAATGACCCTCGTGTAGAGTCTTAATGACCCTCGTGTAGAGTCTTAATGACCCTCGTGTAGAGTCTTAATGACCCTCGTGTAGAGTCTTAATGACCCTCGTGTAGAGTCTTAATGATCCTCGTGTAGAGTCTTAATGACCGTCGTGTAGAGTTTTAATGACCCTCGTGTAGAGTCTAATGACCTCGTGAGAGTCTTAATGACCCTCGTGTAGAGTCTTAATGACCCTCGTGTAGAGTCTTAATGATCCTCGTGTAGAGTCTTAATGATCCTCGTGTAGAGTCTTAATGATCCTCGTGTAGAGTCTTAATGACCCTCGTGTAGAGTCTTAATGACCCTCGTGTAGAGTCTTAATGATCCTCGTGTAGAGTCTTAGTGATCCTCGTGTAGAGTCTTAATGACCCTCGTGTAGAGTCTTAATGACCCTCGTGTAGAGTCTTAATGACCCTCGTGTAGAGTCTTAATGATCCTCGTGTAGAGTCTTAATGATCCTCGTGTAGAGTCTTAATGACCCTCGTGTAGAGTCTTAATGATCCTCGTGTAGAGTCTTAATGACCCTTGTGTAGAGTCTTAATGACCCTCGTGTAGAGTCTTAATGACCCTCGTGTAGAGTCTTAATGATCCTCGTGTAGAGTCTTAATGATCCTCGTGTAGAGTCTTAATGACCCTCGTGTAGAGTCTTAATGATCCCCGTGTAGAGTCTTATGACCCTCGTGTAAGTCTTAATGACCCTCGTGTAGAGTCTTTAATGACCCTCGTTGTAGAGTTTAATGACCCTCGTGTCGAGTCTTAATGACCCTCGTGTTAGAGTCTTAATGACCCTCGTGTAGAGTCTTTAAAGACCTCGTGTAGAGTCTTACTGACCCTCGTGTAGAGTCTTAATGACCCTCGTGTAGAGTCTTAATGACCCTCGTGTAGAGTCTTACTGACCCTCGTGTAGAGTCTTAATGACCCTTGTGTAGAGTCTTAATGATCCTCGTGTAGAGTCTTAATGATCCTCGTGTAGAGTCTTAATGACCCTCGTGTAGAGTCTTAATGACCCTCGTGTAGAGTCTTAATGACCCTCGTGTAGAGTCGACATATTTAAAGCTTCATTAACCAACTTACCAAATCCTCTTGTAAACTGTTAGTACAGTGACTCACAGAATCGTAATAACACTACTGCAAATAACCCAGGGAACGGGAGGGATTTGAACTCATGGCGAGTGAGTCCGAAAAATCCAGATTCAGTGGTTTACGCACTGAACCTGAAGTTTCAGGCCGGTGCGTAAACCACTGAGGGGGTTCAACCCCCTCTTCCGTTCCGTGGGTTGTTGCTACAGTGAATTCCCTTAAACGGACCTCATTGCTTATCTATCTCTTGTTTCTGGTCGTATAAGGAACTGCCAGCAGCGTTGACGATTGTTTTTCTGTGTTTTCCTTGTGCTGTGTTTGTCGTGTTGTGTTTGTTGTGTTGTGTTTGTGTTGTGTTTGTTGTGCTTGTGTTTATTGTGTTGCGTTTATCGTGTTTGTGTTTGCTGTGCTTTTCCGTGTGTTGTGTTTTCTCTTATGTGTTTGCTGTGTTTGTTTTTGTTGTGTTTGTAGGAAAAGCAAAATGTTTGTGGGAAGCATAAGAGGCGTATGGGGGCGAGATTTTCCATCTCTCATGTTTTTTCTTGAGAGCGAGATTGTCAGGATAGAGACGGAGAATCGAGCCTCCACCACTCTTTGTGTTGATTTACCCAGATTATTGCCAACAGGGTTGACCCCACCGCTTGTGGGGTGCTTGTACTCTGTAGTATGAGTGGAGGTGTGGGTAGTACAGTAACTGTACTCTGAAGTATGAGTGGAGGTGTGGGTAATACAGTAACTGTACTCTGAAGTATGAGTGGAGGTGTGAGTAATACAGTAACTGTACTCTGAAGTATGAGTGGAGGTGTGAGTAATACAGTAACTGTACTCTGAAGTATGAGTGGAGGTGTGGGTAGTACAGTAACTGTACTCTGAAGTATGAGTGGAGGTGTGAGTAATACAGTAACTGTACTCTGAAGTATGAGTGGAGGTGTGGTAGTACAGTAACTGTACTCTGAAGTATGAGTGGAGGTGTGGAGTAATACAGTAACTGTACTCTGAAGTATGAGTGGAGGTGTGAGTAATACAGTAACTGTACTCTGAAGTATGAGTGGAGGTGTGGGTAATACAGTAACTGTACTCTGAAGTATGAGTGGAGGTGTGGGTAATACAGTAACTGTACTCTGAAGTATGAGTGGAGGTGTGGGTAATACAGTAAACTGTACTCTGTAGTATGAGTGGAGGTGTGGGTAATACAGTAACTGTACTCTGTAGTATGAGTGGAGGTGTGGGTAATACAGTAACTGTACTCTGTAGTATGAGTGGAGGTGTGGGTAATACAGTAACTGTACTCTGTAGTATGAGTGGAGGTGTGGGTAATACAGTAACTGTACTCTGTAGTATGAGTGGAGGGTGGGTAATACAGTAACTGTACTCTGTAGTATGAGTGGAGGTGTGGGTAGTACAGTAACTGTACTCTGAAGTATGAGTGGAGGTGTGGGTAATACAGTAACTGTACTCTGTAGTATGAGTGGAGGTGTGGGTAATACAGTAACTGTACTCTGTAGTATGAGTGGGAGGTGTGGGTAGTACAGTAACTGTACTCTGTAGTATGAGTGGAGGTGTGGGTAATACAGTAACTGTACTCTGTAGTATGAGTGCGACTGTTGTAGGTCAGAGAATCACTTACATTTAAAACTTCATATAGCTTCCGGGAAAATAATGCCAGGGTTCAAGTGATGGTGGGATGTTGTTTTTCTTCGTTGAAGGGAGGAAAATAAATCAAAGATTTAAATATTGGAACCTTTTTTATGTTCTTATGTTTTTACGTACATGTAATCCCCCACTAACATGTAATCCCCAACCACGTACATGTAACCCCACCACGAACATGTAATCCCCCAATCACGTACATGTAATCCCCCACACGTACATGTATTCCCAAACACGTACATGTAACCCCCCAACAGCCTGTGCAGTGTTCCTCCTTTCTTATGTTCTTATGTTCTTACGTACATGTAATCCCCCACTAACATGTAATCCCCCAACCACGTACATGTAATCCCCCACCACGAACATGTAATCCCCCAATCACGTACATGTAATCCCCCACCACGTACATGTATTCCCCAAACACGTACATGCAATCCCCCAACAGGCCTGCTGCAGTGTTCCTCCTTTCTTATGTTCTTATGTTCTTACGTACATGTAATCCCCCCACTAACATGTAATCCCCCAATCACGTACATGTAATCCCCCACCACGTACATGTATTCCCCAAACACGTACATGTAATCCCCCAACAGGCCTGCTGCAAGTGTTCCTCCTTTCTTATGTTCTTACGTACATGTAATCCCCCCACTAACATGTAATCCCCCAACCACGTACATGTAATCCCCCCACTAACATGTAATCCCCACTAAGTACATGTAATCCCCCACTAACATGTAATCCCCCACCACGTACATGTAATCCCCCACCACGTACATGTAATCCCCCACCACGTACATGTAATCCCCCACCACGTACATGTAATCCCCCACCACGTACATGTAATCCCCCACCACGTACATGTAATCCCCCACCACGTACATGTAATCCCCCACCACGTACATGTAATCCCCCACCATGGGAAGGTGAGTCAGTATGGTAAATCTTGAGAGGCAGCAGCAACAATTACCGAAGATGAGAAGATAAGGAGATAAATATATAAACATGTTAGAGATAGTAAACCAGGCTGGGGTTTATAAAACACTCCACTTAAGGTTCGGTTTATTCAGAGGAACGACCACATCTGCTGCTGCTGCTGCTACTGCTGTTGCTGACGCTGTTACCAATACCCCTTCTGCTGCTAGTCTCGCAGCTTCTGCTGGCACTACCGTAGCGAGAAGATGAGGACTTTCCTGAAGGCGGCGCTACTGGTGACCTTCCTGTCCCTGTGTACAGGTGAGCAGCTCTGCTTCCACACACCTGTAGCTACGTACAGGTAATGTGTGTTTCTCTGATACACTTGTAGTTACACACAGGTGACCTAAGTTGCTTCGGCACACCTGTAGCTACGTACAGGTAATGTGTGTTGCTCTGATACACTTGTAGTTACACACAGGTGACCTAAGTTGCTTCGACACACCTCTAGCTTTATACAAGTGATGTCTTTACCAGTTTTAAAGTAACTTTGAGTAAAGTTTAGTGATAAAGTCGCTTTGAAAGTATCATTGCAAAAGTCACTTTGACAGTATCATTACGAAAGTCACTTTGACAGTATCATTACAAAAGTCACTTTGACAGTATCATTACGAAAGTCACTTTGACAGTATCATTACAAAAGTCACTTTGACAGTATCATTACAAAAGTCACTTTGACAGTATCATTGCAAAAGTCACTTTGACAGTATCATTACAAAAGTCACTTTGACAGTATCATTACAAAAGTCACTTTGACAGTATCATCATAAAAGTCACTTTGACAGTATCATCATAAAAGTCACTTTGACAGTATCATCATAAAAGTCACTTTGACAGTATCATCATAAAAGTCACTTTGACAGTATCATCATAAAAGTCACTTTGACAGTATCATCATAAAAGTCACTTTGACAGTATCATCATAAAAGTCACTTTGACAGTATCATTAATGATGTAACTTTGAGAGAGAAAAACTCTTGTAATTTACTGTTTTTTTAAAGTAGGTAAAAATCGTCAAAAAAAATCACACAAATGATAATCTCTTCACTTACACTAAACTGTAACCTTAAGAGCGAAAACAAAAAGCGGTAAAGCAGTAAGGACTACATAAATAATATTAATAAAGATTAAGGAAGGAACACCTTGTAACAGAGTGACGGTGTTGTTGCAGGAGCCTCTGTAAAGGAACACCAGCTGAAGGAGCACACAGGGAACCATGTGTTAAGTGATGACTCTAGCTGTGATTACATCTGTGTTGCCACAGATAACTGCATCCCTTTCTCATGGCTGTGTGACGGTGTTTATGACTGTCCTGGAGGCGACGATGAAGCTAACTGCGGTATCTATATAGAATCTGTTCATTAAAGCTTTCCTATATTTTGTATACAACTTTGGAACATGAACAAAATGAACTTTTATGTGAAACAGGGTGTTAGTGAAGGAGTATAAGGTTTCTATGGAATTGTCTCTCCTAACAGACTTCACTGAGTTTACTGACATCGTTGAAACAACAGATACTCCTAATAACGAGTGTGAAGAGCCGTTTGACCTGATCTACGGTCGCTGTGTGATGGTCGATCCTTTCACCTCCACTACCTGGGACGAGGCACGCTACTTATGCGAGAAGTTTAGTTCTGAACTCCTGGTCATCGACTCCCTAAACTTCTATAGTAAACTGTTGCAGTTTATCAGGGAGAAGGGTGAGTATCAGAGTTGTGAGGTGACCTGGTACAGTATATCAGGGAGTAGGGTGAGTATGAGTGTTACAGTATATCAGGGAGAAGGGTAAGTATGAGTATTGTGAGGTGACCTGGTACAGTATATCAGGGAGAAGGGTAAGTATGATGTTGTGAGGTGACCTGGTACAGTATATTAAGGAAACGGGTTTTAGTGACTCCCAAAGGAAGAATTGTAACCTATTTTCAGGCCCTGAGTTCTGTTCTGAACTTTCCAGGAACCACCAGTCTATCTAATTTTTCAACTTTTCCCTATAAAGATACCCAAATGTGCATGTATTTAATTCCTAAACTTTTCGGTATAGTAGACTATTCTTGTTGAAGGAGAAGAGTTTAAGAAGAGGGAAGATGGTAAGAGTAATGGAGGGAAATAGAGGAGACTGGACGAGGAACGTGTAATGGGGGTAAATGCGGAGAGATGAAAGTGGAAAATTATAGGCAGAGAATACAATTTAATAAGGCAACGTTAAGCTTGGAGACCAAAATTTTTAGGCTACATATCTTGGGGAAAAAAAGGCTTGGTGTCCCTTGATAACATAATCTTCATAAGACGTTAATGGTGCCTTGATATCCTTATATGTTTCTTCTTCTTCGTCTTCTTCGTCTTCTTCTTTACATCTTCAGGTAGACAACATCTTCACTTGCTGGATGCTGCTCCCAAGGATTTAAATTCACTTCTCTTATTTTTTTAGTACCATATTTTCCGGCATATAAGGCGCACGACAGACGTAATATAAGATATACCAGTAATCATATTCAAGGGCTAATTACCCTCTTACTTTACGATAAGACATAACTCAAAGCAAGGCGGCTTTTCCAAGACTTTTTTGCGGGAAAGAAGGCGCGCCTTATATGCAGGAAAATACGGTATATAACACCGTAAATTAAAACAAGTGATGTGTGGTTTACTTTCCTTTCAGGTCTGGATTCCGAGAGCTACTGGATAGGCGCTTCTGACGCTGAAGAGGAGGGTGTGTGGAAATGGGTTAATGGAGAACCCGTGACCATGGGTACACCAATGTGGGCCCTTAAGTGTGATTACAGTGATACTTACACGCAGGTGAGTCACAGTCTGCTTGCGAACTTGATACACAGTGTCGCTTCCTTGTATCTGCCGAGGTGAAAAATGTTCTGAGTACATTTATTTCACTGGAGATGAGAGTTGTAGTTAGTCGGGTAACAAATGTTATTCACACATAAACTCGATTCATTTCCTTTGAATTGTTGCTATTTATTTTTTAGTTATTTCGAATAGCTTCACTAAAGTCAGAGTTTTGTTACTGCAATAAAAATTAAGAATATTTAATTTTTTTATTAATAGTCCAATTATGAAGATTTTATTTATTGTTTCCACGTTAGCAAGGTACTGAAGACTCCGTCCCTACAGCCTCACAGTGTGAAGATAAGATAAGATAAGATTTCGTTCGGATTTTTAACCCCGGAGGGTTAGCTACCCAAGATAACCCAAGAAAGGCAGTGCGTCATCGAGTACTGTCTAACTTATTTCCATTGGGGTCCTTAATCTTGTCCCCCAGGATGCGACCCACACCAGTCGACTAACACCCAGGTACCTATTTGCTGCTAGGTGAACAGGACAACAGGTGTAAGGAAACGTGTCGAAATGTTTCCACCCGCCGGGAATCGAACCCGGGCCCTCCGTGTGTGAAGCGGGAGCTTTAGCCACCAGGCCACCGGTTCTATAATTTGTGAAAGTTTGTTCTTTATTTCCCTGTTTCGGTTTATTTTCCTTTCCATTATATCATTAATATCACTCTTCCCACAGGAACCTGATGTCAGTGCCGGTGTGAATCAAGACTGCGCCTTCCTCGATCAACAAAGATTCTTCTACCTCAACGACGATGTTTGCGACAACAATAAGGGAGCCATCTGTCAGTTGAAGGGGTGGGGGTCCTCAGCGATTCGAAGACACGCATACGACGCCTCGACGAACAAGGAAGTAAAGAGAATCAAATCGTTTGTTCACGAAATTGCCAGGAATCACAACGAAAGTCACGCAGGCGACGAAAAACGCTCTGTAGGAGGAGTTAACGAAGGGAAACAAAGCAAAGGAAATCAAAAGAATTTCACCCCGACGAGGGTGAAGGATGGAGGCACAGGAAAATATAATAAAGACACCAAAACACTCGGAGAGAAAGAGATGAAGAAGAAGTCACTAAACCAAGAAAATAAAGAAGTAAAGGAAGCTCACCCCAGCCACAACACTGTCCAGGAAGCTAAAGTGCCAGCTGTCCAGGAACCACAATTAGCGTCAGCGCGGCACTCAGGTATGGGTGGCACTCACCAGCGTCATGAAGGTTAGATACAAGAAATAAGCCATCAGAAGTACCTTAATTTTTCCCTTAAAGAACATTACATCAACTCTGCAACAGAACATCCTGAGAACACTGAGAACAACGAGAATGTTCCAACAACACTAAGAAAACTAAAAGAACGTTTTGAGAACACTAACACCGAGAACGATAAAAGAACACCGCAAGAACATTCTGCTATAAGAACTCTATAAGAACAGCATATAAACATTTTAAGAACATTAAATACAAATGAAATTCCCAGCAATGAACATCCGTGTTCGCAACTCTTAGGATGTGAACACCAGTGAACAAATTTAACTTAATGAACCCTGCAATTCATGAAACAGATTAAACTGATGAGTAAAAGACACATGTACAACGTTTCATGTATACAGTAAGCTTCTCCAGTCAAATACACAAGCAACAGGAGTAATAGCGAAGTAAAGATGATGTTATCAGTCCATTAACCTTGGAGAAACAGTATCTGAGGTGGTCAGTCCCTCAGCCTGGAGAAGAATTCTTCTTTCATCTCCCTTTTTTTCAGTCTTTCAGAATTTTATGGCATTTCTCGACTCTTCAGGCACATAAAAAATTCTCGGAATACTCTCCTCTCATCATCATTCAAATAAATAGTATATTACATTAGTTCCTGTCCTTTATTTATCCTTAACACTCTCCTATATGAGAATTTATTCTATACCAGAAAATCGAAAAATAGTGGATTTTTTTGGTTTGTAAATAAGATTTAACTCTCTTAATTTAAAATGACTTCGCCAGTAGAGATTTTGATAAACAAATGTTGAAATATCTATCTGATGTTAAAATGTCTATCTGGTATTGTTAAAATGTCTATCTGGTATTGTTAGAAATGTCTATCTGGTATTGTTAGAAATGTCTATCTGGTATTGTTAGAAATGTCTATCTGGTATTGTTAGAAATGTCTATCTGGTATTGTTAAAATGTCTATCTGGTATTGTTAAAATGTCTATCTGGTATTGTTAAAATGTCTATCTGGTATTGTTAAAATGTCTATCTGGTATTGTTAAAATGTCTATCTGGTATTGTTAAAATGTTTATCTGGTATTGTTAAAATGTCTATCTGGTATTGTTAAAATGTTTATCTGGTATTGTTAAAATTGTCTGTCTGCCAGACAAACTTAAATCTGCAGATGACTTAACTGTGATGGATAGTCAAGGCAGAGGAAATACCATCTCTCTTGTTTATTTTTAGTATTCCTCACCAGCTACCATGTTTCTTGCTTCTCCTTAATGCTTCTCCACTATGTTTTCCACTGTCATCCACCCACCAGTCATGTCTACACTTCTAGCAGCTTAGGAAGGCAGTGCCATCCATTCACCAGTCATGTTTACACTTCTAGCACCTTTGGAGGGCAGCGCCATCCACCCACCAGTCATGTTTACACTTCTAGCACCTTAGGAGGGCAGCGCCATCCACCCACCGATTCGCCGAACAGCAAGCAGCAGCAACACAGAATCAGGAACAAGGAGATAACATAACGACACTAAGTAGGGACCATCTGCAGATCCTCCACAAAAGTCACAAAACTCCCATGCTACTGAATCTAAGTTCAGCGTAAGAAAATCCCCGACTGTGACGGTGCACAGATACCAGTACAAATTAGGTCAGAAGCTACAGCTCAGGACCTGAGTTTCTCAGAGTGTCAGTGCGACACAACCTCAGTAAAACGTCGAAAATCACTAAGTCTAGGCTATGTTCTGTTAACAGAGTTGCACAGAACTAACAACAAGAGAGAGCGATAGAGATGAAGTTCCAACCAGGGCCAGCAAGGGAGAGGTGGAGAGGGAGATGTTGGAACCAGCACCAACCAAAGAGAGAGAGCGAGAGGCAAGGCTGTCTCCTCACACAGGTGAGGTGTGATCACCCCGCCCCACCCTGGTCACGTGACTCTTCGTGGACTGCTCCTGCCCAGCAACTACTGAGAAGCCGGCAAGGAAAAAAACGAGGAGGTAGTTATCAAGGTAGTTTGCCAATGCGGGCAGCTACCCAACACTCGAGCAATGAGCACTGAATAATGTGTAACTGTTACATCCTACCTAATAATATAGCTAAGTCCAATAATAATATAAATCAACATATTTACGATTTAGCTAATATCGCAAATATCAGCAATATAAAATTAAATGAACAGGTAATATACGTTAAAATTGAGATATATACATTGTGACCCATTCAGGGGTCGCAATATTTACACTTCTAGCACCTTAGGAAGGCAGCGCCATTCACCCACCAGTCATGTTTACACTTCTAGCAGCTTAGAAAAGCAGTGCCATCCACCCACCAGTCATGTTTACACTTCTAGCAGCTTAGAAAAGCAGTGCCATCCACCCACCAGTCATGTTTACACTTCTAGCAGCTTAGAAAAGCAGTGCCATCCACCCACCAGTCATGTCTTCACATGTGAGACATAAGAATAACACTTGACACAACATTCAGGTGGTCAAATTAATCTTCAGATAATAATACTTTTATCTTATCTAATGTCGTAAAATTATTTGTACTTGCAACTCTTCACTGATACATAATCAGTTGAACACTTGTCGACTTTCATCTACCTTCATTCCTGCTTGTATACATCATACATAACTGTGTGTTATACATATTCTTTGATAAATTAGACACATGTGCAACACTTGGGTATCTTCACATTGACTCAAGGTTGAGGGACTGATTACCTCAAACTCCTCCTGTTCTTCACCATTCTCCTTCGTATGGACTGATGAAGCCAGTGTGTGGCGAAACGTTTCGTCATGAAAGATACCCAAGTGTTACACATGTGTCTAATTTATCAACTTGTCGGTTCTCTGAGCCATTTGTCTACAAACATATTGGTATATATGAGATATACGTCTTGAAAATTTTAAAACACTGAAATGAGAGAGAAGATATACGTAGGAAGACACCAGACTATGTTAGGTGACCTCTTCTGGTAGAATGAACAAGGAATGAGTTGACCTTCGGCTGACTTTCCTTCACTGACCTGACTGCGTTGAGTCTGACACAGGCTCCTCTGATCTTCACCACGCAGTAACGACTTACGCAGACAGAACTAAAAAGAAAATCTTCAGTCAGATTGACTGTAACCATGAGTATAGTGGCTCTAGTCATGTGGCTACAAGCAAATACATAACACATTATGTAATCTCAATTAGGCAACTTTGCAAGATGGAATATGAGTGAGGGAAGGAGCGAACCAGCAAGGCGTGACTCTATGTTTGCCCAGAGTGAAACTGGCATTGATCAGGTGTAATAAATGTGATAAAAGAATTTTTATCACTGGAGTGAAAGAAAATAATATTCGCATATGATAACTTTCCGTGTGTACTTGATGCTTCCGCTTGACTCTTGATGAGAGGTAAGTGGAGATAAGGAAAGTAAAAGCCATGTGCAAGAAGCAGTAAATACAGGTAAGTAGATAATGTTAGGTAAGAGACATATGCAACAGTTAGGTATCTTTATTTCGAAACGTTTCGCCTACACAGTAGGCTTCTTCAGTCAAGTACAGAAAAGTTGATAGAAGCAGAAGAGACTTGAAGACGATGTAATCAGTCCATCACCCTTGAAGTTTTGAGGTGGTCAGTCCCTCAGTCTGGAGAACAGCATTGTTCCATAGCCTGAAACAATATGGAGTTGAAGTGACAGGATGGAGCCTTATATACCTCCAGGAGGTGAGATGTAGGAGTTGATAGTGATGGAGTAGAAGTAGATAATGATGGACCTCCGTCAGTGGTCACTATTAGTGGTCACTATCTCTTAAGAGTATTTTGCTTTATATTATTTCGCTAACAACAGTTTTGGAAGATGACAACAAAAGCTCCTTTACAGTTCCATTCTTTCCCCCTCTCCTCTACACTCACCACGTTCACACTTACTCCCTTTCCCACTCCCTAACACCTATCTACACTTGCTTGAAAAAAAGGGGATCATGTAAGGGCAGGGGAAGTAAATAAATGGAAACGTTACGCCCTATTACATGCAGACGCATGGCAAACACCTAGAAATTATGGCTCCAACTGAAACAGCACGAATGATCTGCAATATATGAATATGTTGGATATATGCACAAATATGCTAGATACATAAATACATGTATGATGTAAATTTGAAAAAAACTACCACAGTGAAAACAGAAAATACAGCCTGAGCTCTTTCATGTGTTTACACATGTTTTCAGAGGATATGAGTGTAAGCACTGTCGTATTTTTTCCATGATGTGAACATGTATGAATAATGAGTACAAACATGTGTGATATACACCAGCATGTATGAAGTCGTATGTCTGGTGGAAGAATGAAAAACAAAATACTGTTTAGGTTATGTTTGTATGAGTGAGATACTTCAGGTAAGTCTGTGATATTATTTACAGTCAGTGTGTGAGTTTGCTACGGAGGATGTGTAAAATTTCAGACGTACTGAAGGTTTCAGGCGGTGGATAACACGCACACACACACACACACACACAACAACACACACACAACACACACACACACACACACACACACACACACACACACACACATACACACACACACACACACACACACCGTAGATGTCAAGGAAGTCAAAGTCAACGAGATCTGTTTCGTATTTCTCGTAGACATCTTTGGCCTCCATCAAGATGGAGGTGCGGGAGAGAGAAAGAGAGAGAGAGAGAGAGAAAAGAGAGGGGAGAGAGAGAGAGAGAGAGAGAGAGAGAGAGAGAGAGAAGAGAGAGAGAGGAGAGAGAGAGAGAGAGAAGGTTGACCACACACAGGCCCCCAAATATACTTAGCTAGGTGAAGCCACTGTTGAAATTGTTGGGGGGGGATGGAACTACAATGGTGGTGGGGGTGGTGGTGGTGGTGGTGGTGGTGGTGGTCGGGTGGTGGTGGTGGTGGTCCGGGCTGTATATGGGAACCATCACGTTACATGCACTACAGGGAAGCCTAGTGTGACCAGTTAATGGTCCAAGACGGACCGAAACCTCGTTATTCGTTTCAGTCTCTCTTTTGTGTGTGTTATTTGTGCATTGTTCCACTCACTCTATTATGCCTTTTTATTCTTCCAGGGAAGCCTTTTACTCCTTTGATAATGCCCTTTAATTTACCTTTATAAAACTGATTTATTTCTTAAAAGGCCGTTTTTATCCTGACAAAACAATGCTCTATTATTAAGATAAAAAGATATTATTATTCTTATTGAACAAAAGTCTAAAATACATACAAATATACGTACATACACTCAAATATACATGTATGCAAATATACATCATACTTACATAGCACAGTAGAGTTATACTGTCGACTCCAGGACAGTCGTAACCATCACAGGGACAGTGACAGTAAATGCTGTCTCCTGTGTGTATACATGTGTAGTGGTTGTATACATGTGTAGTGGTTGTATACATGTGTAGTGGTTGTATACATGTGTAGTGGTTGTATACATGTGTAGTGGTTGTATACATGTGTAGTGGTTGTATACATGTGTAGTGGTTGTATACATGTGTAGTGGTTGTATACATGTGTAGTGGTTGTATACATGTGTAGTAGTTGTATACATGTGTAGTAGTGGTCGAGATCACAGTTGTCACTCTCACTGGTGCTGATGCTGCTATTGTCACTATAGC